GACATTCGAGATTTGATTTGAGACTTCTCTCCCATCGTGTACATTCTCAGAAAATAATACTCATGGTAATGAGATTCCTGGTAACTAATGCAAATTCATCAGTATTTATGGAATGGTCACAAGATACAGAGCACTGAATAAAAGAGCACAGCTTGGTCCATTATTTTCCACTCTAAAAAATATGAGGTTGGCACCTGCATACAATTTTAGAAAAGTTTTAAAAATTGAACTATAACAAGAGTATGACTGAAAGGAACACGGATCAAAACTGTACAGCTTGACAGTTAATTAGGAGGTGAACAGGCACACCAGCCTCCACCTGGGCGAGGAGTAAAACATTTCGAGATCCCTCAGATCGGGACCCAGGTCCCCAGGCAGATACACAGCAGGCAGCGTGGGGACCTGAGAGTCACACTGGTGACACTGAGTGCAATCCTTGCTGCTGCTTCTCAGTTTCTCCCTGTGCTCGGCCTCTGAGACCCATCTATTTGAATCAGTGGTACCTTCATCTCATGCTCTGTACCTGGTGTGAGTGTGCCAAAATGCACTGAGCTACTCTCTACTTGGATTGTGTTAGAGTTAAATCGACTTAACAAATTTTGTCAGTTACTTTCTTTTTGTTTTCTCTTCCTTCCTTGTTTTACTTTTTTTTCTTCATTCTTTTTTTTTGTGCATGTGTGCTAGAGGTTGAATCCAGGGTATTGCACATCTAAGTATATGCTCCACCACTGAGCGACACCTCCAGCCAGTGGGAACTTTCCTGTGTGTGTATTTTGATGCACAGGTAAAGTTGCCAGGTCAGACGGATTCACTACACTGCATTTGTCGATAGTGCCAAGTACTTTACCACAGCGGTCAGACCAGTTTTAATCCCCCGGCAGCATACGAGGACTCCACTCTCCCATTTTACATCAGTAAGAGGCATGTGCCAGGCTTGCCCATGTTTAGCCATCTTGGTTCCATGAGCCATCTTACTATGATTTGAAATTGCGCTTCGGTGACTAATAAGCAGTGACTAATGAAAATGGAGGCATTTGTTGATTCACTGGACTTTAACCACCCACTACCCAATTTTTAAAAATGCCATTTCAAGAATTTTTCCATTATTCTAACAGGTTTGAATGTCCTTTGATTATGGCTTTGTGGAAATGTTTTTGGTCCTGGCTGGAGCCTTTTGTTGATTTTTTTTTTCAGTTGATTATATTTATTGGTACATTTTAGGTATACAATATAATGACATTCATCTTTGGAAATTTGCACCTTTACATAATCTCTCTTGGTTCTTATTTTCCCCCCTTCCCCTGCCCTCCCTTCAACCCCTCCATCCCTCCCTATTTACAAAGACTTTGTTTCCATTTTTTCATTTTCTCATATTAATTCCATTCCCGTCTTTCCTTTCCCCTACCCCTCCCACTTCCCCTTCCCCTTTGCCCCTTTTCTTCCTATTTCACATTATCTATTATACCTTTTAGTCCTTATTTACACTTTCAGTTTCTCACACTAGAGAAACTATTTGGTATTTACACATGTGTGTCCTGTTTATTTCACTTAAGAGTATCACTTCAATGTGCATCCATTTAGCTATAAATGTCTCCAATTTCTCATTTTTATGGCTGAGTAGTACTCCATTTTGTAGAAAAACCACATTTTCTTTATCCAGTTTCCAGTTAATGGGCATTTGGGCTGTTCCAAGTTTTAGCTATTACAAACTGTGCCACTATGAACATGGGTGCACATATATCACAGTGGTATGATTCTTTTAATTCTTTGGGGAAGATCCCCAGCAGGGGAATAGCAGGGTCAAATGGGACCTCTAGCCCTAGTTTTCTGAGGTATCTCCATACTGATTTCCACAGTGGTTGCACCAGTCTGCACTCCCACTAACAATGGAGAAGGGTTCCTTTCTCCCCTACACCCCTGCCAGCATTTGCTATTGGTTGATTTCTTGATAGCAGCCATTCTTTCTGGGGTGAGGTGGAATCTCAGCATTGTTTTCATTTGCATCTCTCGAATGACCAGTGATGTTGAATGTGGAGATATTTTATCCCATTCTGTGCTTCATCTTTCCACATTCTCAAAGTGATATTTTGATGAATAGAAGTTCCTACTTTTAACAAAGTCTAATTTATCAAGGTTTGACTGTGTTTACTGCAGTTGGTGTCTTGCATAAGAAATCTTGCTTATCTACTTTTTTTCTATAAGTCCTCTGTTGCATCTTTTGCATATAAAGTTTGCATGAAACTAACTTTTGTACATGAAATAAGACATGGCCTTTTTTATTTGTTTTTCTGTGCACCATGTCTGATGAGGACAGCACCCTCTCTCTCCCTCCCCGAAGGCCACAATGGTGTAAATGAGGCATCCGCCCATATGCAGACCTACCTCTAGGTTACTGTTGGGTTCCACCGGCCTCCATTTCTGTCCCTGTCTACTCCACAGATGCAGGAGCTGCAGCATTTTATTAGATGTGACAGAGTAATTTCTTCAAACTCTCTCCTCCTGGCTATTTCTAATACTTTACCTTTTCACATAAACTTTAGGATCAATTTAAATGTCTTCTGAGGTTTTGATTGGAGTCGTGGTGAATCTATGTTAACATACTTACATGATGGAGATTCCAATCCAAGAACAGCGTACATCCAGTTATACATATCTTCTTTGATTTATCTAAATGATGCTTTATAGTTTACCTTGGAGAAGTCATGAATATCTTTCATTAAATTCAGTCTTCAGTATTTTATTCTTTCAGTCTAGCTTAAGTGGCAATATTAATTTAGTTTTCTAAGTGTCTATGACTGGGATACAAAAATGCAATTGATTTTTATATTGATTTTGTATCTAACACTTCTTACCAAATTTAGTTATTGATATAAAAAAAATCTCCTGGTTATATTTTATGCATATGTAGTCATGCCATCTGCAAACCAGGACAGTCTTGTTTTTCCCCCTCAAATATTTTGTTTCTAAATTGAATTGACCAGGAGTCAATGCAATGTGTAACAGAAGTGATGATATTGGACATTTATATTTCATTTCCAAATCCAGAAAGACAGCTTTCATTGTTCTGCCATTAGGTAAGAGGCTTGCTATAGGTGGTGTTTGTGGATATTCTCAGCAAGGTAATATGCTTCCCTTCTAGCTGAAACTTTCCATGTTTATTTTTTTTTATGTGAGTGCTGGTGTTGCTGAGCACTACTGTAGCAGTGCCACACACACCCAGCTCCTCAGTCACCTTCCAGGTGGCACCAGAGAGTTGGGAGACTTAGCTCAGAAGAAGGGCAAGTGGCCAGGCTAAGAGCCCCGAAACAGCAGGGAAGTGGGCTTGGGAATCCAAGTGAGGAAATGGCCCCAGACTGGTGGAACTGGAGACCCGGTGGCAGGAGATCATGAAGATCCACATTACAAGTCTGGGATTTACCTTAAGAAGGTGGAAGGTATCTCAGGAGACATGGTCTGGGCAGTGATGCAGCAAGCCCATGGTGGAGAGGGGCCTCCTGGCTGTGGCGTGGAGGCCACGGGAGAGGGGCCTGCAGTGGGGTCGATGGGACACACTGGATGCTAAGTAAGAAGCTGCGTGTAGGTCAGGGCAACAGGCTCAGAGTTAGGAGGACCAAGAAGTCACCAGCAGACAGGACCCACAGGGCTTTGTGATCAGATCAGAAGACGGGAGGGAGGGGACAATCAAAGATAAAATACCTTGTTCTGGTGAAGATGAGTGTGTGCAGGACCCAGGCTGGCTGAGGTTGAAGAAACCCAGTTTGGACTGAGCCTTCGATCACAGGGACCCGCCGTCAGGTGTAATGCACACAGAGCCCTCGGCAAAATGAACTCATGTATTCGATACAACCAGCAACAAAGGGGACATTTTATGGCCGAAATCACTAAATCAGAGTGGCAGTGAAAGGACCTGAGGATGCATAGTAAAAATGTTTAAGGCCAAGCTTTGGACCCACAAGGTCTGAACTCTTCACTGCTAGGCTGAGCCTGAAAAACGTTCGGTGGGTTACACAGTCTCTCGGTAGGGGGAGTCACAGGCCCCATGGAGAGGTGACAGGCACAGGGGTCTGAGGGTCAGGAGGCTCAGGAGCATTAAATGAGCTCACACTTAGAACAAGGCCAGGCAGGGTGAGCACACAGGGAATGGCCATATCCTGCTGTCATTATCATGGCTGCTTCCTCCCACCTGGACACAGATGCACCCAGCATCAGCAGAGCACAGCGAGACTCCTGGACAGAGGTTGCCCTGCCCTGCCTGAGCTCTAGGCAGGCTTCTCCACGTGCCCAGGGTTCATAGGGACACAGCTGCCCTGCTCTGGGCCTCAGCTTTTCCACCTGTAAGGGGGGTGACCAGTGTCCCTCTGCCCATGGGGTGGGTCCAGGACTTGATGCTTCCAGAGCCCTGCAGTGGGGACTCATTACATGACTCACTGTAGAAATCACCTGGGCAGCCAGTGGATCTGAAACTTGAAGGAATCCAAGACAGGGCAGGGCACGGAGGCCATGCACGGGCAAGTATGGAGACAGAGCTAACTGCAGAGCCTTGTGTCCATAGCAAGGAACTTGACTTGAAGAGATATGAGGTTTCAGAGGCTAGGAACTGGGGACTGACTTGATCTGTTATTTAATTTTTTCAATTGCATTAAAGCATAATTCATACTCAACAAATATACACATCCCAAATGTATAGTTTGATGAGCTCTGACGAACATCAACACCATGTGCCAACTACAGTCAAGGGATGGGCTATTTCCATCACCCAACAGGTGCCTTGGGGCCCTGCACTGCCCACTAGCTACTAGTGGTACTAGTGGCTTGATCTGTCTTTTTCAGGATTTCATAGAAAGAATCCTATAGTATGTGCTCATCTGGTTTCATTTGCCATGCAAAATGTTTCTGAGATTCACTCATGTTGTTGAATACACAGGTAGCTTTTTTCCACCTGTTCCCAAAGTTTTGTCCATTAAAAACAAAATTATTATGAGCAATGTATAAGTCTTTGTGATGTTATTTTAATTTTACTGATTAAATGCCTAAGAGTAGAGTTTCTGACTCATATGGGAACGTCCACCCTTTTAAGAAATAGCCGAAAGTGTTTCCCAGAGATATTATTCCCCTTTCACATTCCACCAGCAACTCACGAGAATTCCAGTTAGAATCCTCCCAGCATCTGGTTCTGCCCATGGTGTTGATCAGCTTCTCAGTGCTGTGACCAAACACCTGACACACACAACTTACAGATTCAGGGTATCAGAGGGTTCAGTTCACGGTCACTGGCTCCATGGCAGAACCATCCTGATGGAAGGGTGTGGAGGAGGAAAGCTGCTGAGCGCGCAACATCCAGGAAGCAGAGAGAGCTGGAAGAGAGCCAGAGGGGAAGAGGGCACGGACCTGACGTGATCCTCAAAGTCCTGCCCACAGCCACCCAGAGACACCCAGCAGTGCACTTTACTAACCTCCAGGCACCTTTCAAGCCAGTTACGCTGATGATCAAGAACAACCGTCACACCACCCATTCAATGGAGCTTTAGTTTTCTCACTGGGACTTATTTTACACTTTCTTGATAAGTAATGATCACATATTTATTAAGTACTTATAAATTTTTGTCAAATGTCTGTTCAAATTTTATGCATTTGTTTCCAGATTGTTTTCCCACACTGAAGACCTGTGGGCCATGGATGAGATTACAGATGATTGCCCCAGCATCTAGGATGAGAAAAATATCTGTGCTAGAAGCTTTGAGGTAGGAAGAGTAGGTACCCCGGGAACACTTCATATCAAAGAAAGGAAGGGTGGTTTATCTGTGGAGTAGGCACAACGCCCACCTAGGCCTTTGTCCTGTGGTCCCACCTCTTCTCCATGGTCCAGACTTCCACTGACTTTAGTCCACCGCCTCTCTCTCCACCCTTAGGAAGCAATGGGATTGGCTCCCTGGAGAGGCAACCTGGTCTCCTGGACAGGGGGAGTGGAGGGCGCTTGGCCCCTCACTATTTCTTTTCACCCATGCTCTGGGTTCTAAGGCCACCTGTTCTCAGAAGCCTTTGCTGATTTCCAAGCAACCACTGTGAGGCTCAATTCTGACATCATCTACAAGGCAGTGGTCGAGGCAGCTCTGAGCTGCCTCTGAGCCTCAATAACAGCAGGGCTTCCTCTGCTCACATGGGGTCGCGACCACCACAGAGGAAGTTATTTTAGGCTTTGTCTTTCTTGGAGAAAGGCAGTGTGCAATCAGCTGATTTGGTTCATTCAGTGTCACACAAGGGATTTATGTAAGAACCAGAAAGAAATATCAGGGTTTCTTATAACCAATCTAAGCCTCTCTCTATGATATTCCACAGTGGAGCTGAACAATTATATTGAATTGAAGAAAAGCTTTATGACAGTTGCCCACTATGAATCCTTTTCCCCTCTCCTTAGCTCTAATTTAAAGGCCAGAGGCTGCACAAGGTAAATATCCCATTCCCAGTCAACAGGGGTGCCCCGTGAGCGATAAGCAGAAATGCATTTTACGGCTTTTGCAGATTTAGACAAATCGGGGAAGTCGCAGCTCTTGCTGGCCCTTTCTCTTCTCCTCGCTGACTGTCCTGAATGTGAGTGTGATGGCTGGAGTGGCAGCTGCCATTTTAAGACCCCAGTGAAAAATTCAATTGAGTTTAGAGATTAAAGTCCTATAATCACTCACTTCCCGTTTTCTTGTTATGTGAGAAACACAGAATTCTGTTGGTCTGAGCCATTGTTGCTTAAAGGTTTTGTTGGTTGCAGTTAAAAGCATTCATAACTAACATTAAGTATCTCCTGAGGAAAGCAATCTTCAGAATTCGTAGAATGATGCGACATTGACATGATTAAAAGCTTTTCTTCCATTTAGTCAATAACACAAAGTATTTATTACATTCTCACTATCCAGGCTGCCCTGTTCCGAGTGAAAGCGACACATAAGGGCCACACAACAGAGGACCCTTCTCCTCCAGAGCCCCTTACACTGAAGTGGGGAACAAGAAGAACGTGTGGACAATCAGGTCACTCTGATCGCTGATGAGTAAGACAGCGAGGAAACCCAGGCAGGGCTAGGGTTGGACTGCACAGGGAATGTGGCTGCTGTAAGACCTTCAAGACCTCCTCACAAGGTCACGAGAGTGTACAGAGGACATGCTGTGAGAAGTAACATCTGCCTGAGACCTGAATATGGGGAAGAGTTGGGCACGTGAAGGTATTGAGGGAGCTGGAGTGGAGTGACCATTAGGGACCCGAATCTAAGGCAGGAGCAGGTGGGTGAGCTCAGCAGGGGAGGGGAGACAGAAGGGAGGAGGCCAACAATGGAGAGAGGCCAGGTCCTGGGGAGCACGGCAAAGGCTGAAGGGAGGAGACTGGACTCTGCAGTCTGGGCCCGTCCATTCCCGGCCTGGTCTTTCTGCCCTCAGCCTGCAGCCTCCTTGCTGTACGATGATAGTGTTCCACAGAAGCCATAGCTGTCTGGTGTCATTCAACAGAGCTGCCACCCCTCTGGCTTAGAGGGTCTATCTCAACAAGGCTGCAGCTGGCCCAGCAGGAAAAGGAACATCTGTTTAAAAGCCCAGCTGCCCATGCAGGCATTAGTTGATAATACATGGAAATGAAGAGCTCAGGAAATAAGCCTGAGTTCCAATCCTGATTGCCTACGCCACATTTTAGCTGCTTAATCCTGGGCAAACCTGGCAGCCTCCTTGAATCTCAGCTTTCTGATTTCAAAAATATCAATAATAAATGCCTTTATCTCATGTTCATAAGGATTCAGTGATAACGTACAGAAATACTAGTGCCTAGGATATAGGAAGTTCAGGAAATTAGCAACTTTCTATGATATTATCAAATACTATTGTCTTGAATAGCAAATACTACAGCAGGTAGCAAACAAAAACTACTGCAGTTCATGGTCACTTGATATTTCTGCCACTTCCTCCACTTGAAACCCTAAGCAGGTCAGGTGTGATCCTTAACTTGTTCATACCTGCATTGAGGACTTCAGCTCCCAACTACCTAGGCCAGAGCAGTAAAGAATTTACTCACAGATAATTGGTTATAGTCAGAAAATTATAGAGGAGGAGAAGGAAGAGGAGGAGGGGAGAAGGGAAAGGGCAGTAATAATGTAATTATTTTTAGCTGACAAAACACCAGGGATGACATCACCCTTAGGTTCTTGGACAGGTGACATCACGTGAGCCACCTTCCAGGGTTAGGATGGGTATCCAGGGCTCAAAACTCCACGAGGCACTCACACCCAGGTGCTGCTCCCGAACCCACCCAGGCCTGAGACTCAGTGCGCCCTTAAACCCTGCAGCCAGAGCCTCTTTCTGCCTTGTCTAGACCCTGCACCTTCACTGTGTTACAACTGTCCTGCTGTGACTCCCCCTCCACCTCCTGAGCCTGCATTACTGCACGGGCCCAGGTAACCACAGAAGAAGTAGAAAGAGACTCATTATTTCCTCGTCTCTGACCAGGACCCGAGGCTGATCTCTCTTCACCTGCTACTTATCTCCTGGCCGCTTCAGAGAGATTTTCTTAAATCCCCGCAGACCCAATTTCCCGACAATGATACTAGTAATAGCTGCTAATACGCACTTCATGAAATTGCAGAGTGGATTCCAAGCTGTAGAAATGTCACATTCTGTTTGGCCTCCTGGAATAGCTTGAGCTATGGAACAATAAGGTTTCTTGGAGTTAATAGGGTTTCCTGGTGGAAAGTACCTTTTTTTGCCTAACATTTTGCCTTGTGGACCACAGAGTCGCTTATAGATTTTCAGCAACTTGAAACTGATTCCACTAGGATCCAAGAGTCCCCTTGATAACCGTGTAATTAGACACGGGATCACCATGTCAATAACATTAGGAAGGCGTCCTGGCTTCCGACCCCTACCATGGGCTAGACACAGACATGTTCACTGGTAACCATGGCCTCCAGCTAAGCTCACTACCATGTCAGCAGTGGAACAGCAGCTGCCAAATGAGCACTTGGTGGATGCTTTTCTATCTGCTCAGTATGTTGGAAGGCATATGATGGTCACAGGCGGTGAGAACTGCTGTCACACTTAGGCTGCAATGTCAACTTGATTGGCTTTGGAATCTGCCCAAAATGGAGGGAGCACACTTCTGGCTATGTGTGGGTGGGTGGCTGCGGTGGCATGGCCTTGAGTATCATATCTGGTTACTCACTCCTTCCTCTCTAGTGCTGCACCACTGCTCTACTTCTGGCTGCAATGAGCTACCTAGCTTTCTTCCACCAAGCCCTTCCACCATGACGTTTCTGCCTTGGAGTCAGCTGACCATGGACTGAATCCCCTTAAATTATAAGCCAAATTAATCCTCTCTTTCTTTAAGTTTTGGGTGTTGGGTATTGTGTCCAACAACAGGAAAACTGGCTAATACAGCTCTTTCCATTCCCATTTCACGTATGGGACCAAAGTTATCTATACTATCTGTATCAGTCAGTGCTCACTAGGGACACATTTAATATAAGATATACAGATATATAAGGCTTCATAAGGTAGGCTGGCAATGGCTGCTCACAGAGTCAGGTGTGGAAGAGTGCAAAGAGTGTCTACAGCCGGAGACCCAAAGGATTCAGTCAAAGATGGAAGACCGGAAGCTCACTGAAGAGTCCTGTGTCATATCAGGAGGCCTGATATCAGACCACATCGGGAGGCCGAAAGGTCTGTGCTGGAAGCCAGGAGAAAATGTCCAGGGTGGAGGAGAAGACTGGAACTCCTCCAAAGAAACAGAAGGGAGCCTTCCTCCTTTGGTCTCCTCTTTATTTCATTCAGGGTACAAGCCTCTTAGTTGGTGTCTCTCACACATACCATACATCTCTCATCAGTAAATCCATCCAGCCACATCTGGAACTATGCTGATCCAATTGGGCATTTCTTACTCAAGTTGACACAACAGTCAGCTATCACGTGATCCCACTGTCAAAAAGAAAAGTTATAGAAAAGCTCAAGATCTCCTGTAAACATTGGTGTTTTATCCACTCTGCAAACTTCATACATGCTAAAACACTGTACTGTTTCCTTTGAAGTTACTAAAAAATCAGAGCTTAAGAAACAAAAAATGCAAACATTAATTATATAATATTTAATTGTAATCTTGCCAATTTCCTGTTGCATATCTATTTTTTCCTCTAAAAGCCAGGGTGCTGTGTACTACCTAAAATGGAGAGATATTGGATGGACTGTCGCAGAGGACCACCCAGTGATGCCAGAGGAGTGAGCCATGGACGGGACTGTGGCACCCAGTTGGCAGAGATGGTTTTCGTTAGTACACATCTGACATGCACGTGATTACATTCACCAGGGAGTCGGTCCACGTACATAACGCGTCTCAAAAGATCTGTTTCTTTTTGTTTATCTTCTATTTTACTCTTTAATTTATTTATACTTTGGGTTTCTCACATAAGAGGAACTACACAGCATTTAGGACTGTGTGTTTGATTTATTTTCCTTCACGTGACGGTTTCAAGGTGCCTCCATTGAGACTTCCACATCAGACTGTAGGGACTGCATGCAGCAGTGGACAGAATTAATGGCTGGAGGAGTTTATTTACATTGGATAATTTCTCATGACCTATCAACCCCCCATGGACCATAGCACTTATTCTAACAGTGATAGGAAAAGAAGGGAATGGAAGAAAGTGAGCACAGAGATGAATACAAGGATGAGAGAAAGAAGGAACAGCACGGAGCCATGGGAACCGAAATCTGTTCACTGCACTTCCCATGGTAGGACCTCCACAGTGCTTCAAGCCTCCCCATTAACATGGATAAGACAGAGGCCCTGAGTCACAGAGAAAAACAATCCAAGTCTTGTTTCAGTGCATTATTCACAAGTTGTCCTTAAGCACCCGATGCCCTGAATGTGCTTCCTCTCACAAATGTAAACTCAAGGGCAGAACAGCACCAAGCTGAAGTCCCTGGAAAGTCTTCCCACTGGGTGAACTGGAGCCAGGCCACTGGTCACTGTGCATGTCAGATATCGTGGACATCCAGGATGCATCCCTCTCATCCCCCGAATGGTGAGGATGTCCCACCCCAGCCCATCTGCAAGACTGACTTGAATGCGGGTCTCACACCCTGTTCGATGTGGGGCATTGTCACACCTAAGTCACGCTGCGCTCCTAAACAAGCTTGTCGGTGTCACACACACAGAGGCAGGTTTTAAGTCACCACATTTGTAGTGTTTTCTTCCACTGAAGGAATAGGAAGCTAATGCCCATGCCATGTTCACTCAGGGCCCTCCGAGGTTTTGAGCACAGTCCTCACAGGACACAGCCCTCACAATGCGACATGCACCATCCCACAAAGATGCCCGCGACCTGAACAGGAGAAACCCATGGGAAGTCCATGGCCCGAAGTCACCCCGATTTGTAGTAAATTACCTGCATTCATATGTCAACACATTCCTTCACATTTGCACACTGCTCCAAAATGTACAGCTTGTGTACACAGGGTTACACAGCTGAGTGCCAAAGCTCAGCAGAGGTTTTAATTTCTCTTGCACAGGTGCAGAGGTTGAGGCCAGAAGGAGCTATGTGGCTTCTCTGCTTGGGTCCAAACAGATGGGAAATAAAGGGGCTTCCTTGTTACAGTCAAAAGAGTGACATCTCTATGGGATGAAGAAACCCAGCAGCATTCATTACACCTGCCTGTGAGCAAAGCCAAGCCTTGTGAGATGCTCTCAGGAATACCAAGGCGTCACCTCTCAGGAGCTTTACCCGGGGCTGGGAACCATCCACAGCCGAATGGGTACAAAGGAGAAACACTTCCGGGTCAGACGCCATGGCCTGACCTCTGCCTTCCTCCTTGACCTCTGACCTCTTTGACCTCATCCTGTCTCTCTCTCCATGTTCAGCAGGCCCCAGCACAGCAGCTCACTCTGCTCTCCAAATGTGCTCCACACCTGTTATGCCCGGGTCACTATTCCCCAAGGGTTTGCATTGCTAGATCTTTCTCAGCACGTGGACTTCAAATCTAATACAACTTCCACATAAGCCCCTCCCTAGCTTCACCACTCCTGATACCCTGTTGGTTGTACTCTGTATTTATGTGTTCACTTGTTGTCCATGCATCCTTCCTATTGGGACATGAACTCCTTGTTAAACACTTCGGTGCATAGAAGATACTCGGTGCAACAGTGGTCAGCATGAACAGGAATCTAGAAGCCAGTCGCTTGCCCACCACCCGGGTAAGGACGGCTGAGGAGTGGGAGATGCGTACGGCTCCAATCTTCAGCTCCTTCCCTGCCCGGATCTCAGGCTCTCGTTTCCCATGACTCAGTGGGTGCAGCTGTGCCCAGGCCTCAGGACTGCTGTGAGGACGCACAGGGGAGCACACAAGGTGTGCTTGGCATGGTGCCTGGTGCATGGGAAAGGCCGGATGGGACCTGTGGTCCCTGCTACACTCACATGGAGGAAATGAAACCCTGAACCATTGTCCCTAATGCTTCCCCCTTCCTGCGTGCATTGCAGACCCTCTCACCTTTGTCCCGTGGCCTTGCAGGCCCCCCGCTAGAGGACACAGTGTCCTGTTTCTCGCCGACGCTTGGTGTGACCATGTGCCTCACAATGGTGGCTGTGGGCAGAGCAGCAGGTCTCCCATCTGGATGCAATTCCAGGAGACGCCGCAGTCTCCCTCCTCTGTGGCCACCAGAGGA